TAAAATTCTTTATTGGTGTCCAGTCTGTCCTGGGTATTTTAATATTCTGCTTTATATTCATCCGTTGGGTTAGTTTGCCCATTCTTTGGGAGATTACTATCTGCTTTGCTCTTGTTCACTTTGGGAGATTGCTGTCTGCTTTGCTCTTGTCCACTTTGAGGAACTTTGGGTTAGTTGATTTTGTGTGATTTTTATTCCTGGTATGTTTGCCTTCATGAAGAGAGAGCAAGAGAGAGAGGGAGAATGGAATGAATACAGTATGAAGAAGAAAATGATGCTTCTGCCTCTTCACTTTGTGCTTCCTTGCCACAATTTTGTACTTCTGCCATTTTAAAGTTGATCTTCCTTTTTCATTGTTCCATAGAAATGTGCATTTGTGCATTATTTTTTATTTATAAGGTATATTTAATTATTTTAAAACACATAACAAAAATGGGGGAGGGTTTGGGGGACCAGAATGAATTAATAGCATTTCAATGCATTTAGAATCATAGAATCATACAATCATAGAGTTGGAAGAGACCTCATGGGCCATCCAGTCCAACCCCCTGCCAAGAAGCAGGAAAATTGCATTCAAAGCACCCCCGGCAGATGGCCATCCAGCCTCTGTTTAAAAGCTTCCAAAGAAGGAGCCTCCACCACACTCTGGGGCAGAGAGTTCCACTGCTGAACAGCTCTCACAGTCAGGAAGTTCTTCCTAATGTTCAGATGGAATCTCCTTTCTTGTAGTTTGAAACCATTTAAATTCACTTTGAGATAAGAATGAAACAAATGAAACTCTTAATTCAAGGTATCCTTGCAATTCAAATGGGTACAATGGCTCCTATCATCATGATCTGAGGTCACAACCTGTTGTTTTCTTCACTTTGTTGGGTCATTTTAGAAAGCTGTATTGATAATAAATAATAATTATTTGTATACTGCTCTATCTCCCCTAGTAGACTCAGGGCGGTTTCCACATTAGCAAAGCAACACAAAAACATACAGAGTAGCCATTTAAAACACAGACAGAAAACTATTAACACAATCATATACATTTAAAAAGCCAGTTCCAAAAGTATTCCAACATGCAAAATAAGCTACCAATGGCCAGAATGGAATCACACTACTATTCTGGAGGAGGCACCATAATCTGCAATCTCACACAAAGCTGTTTTACAGAAATAAAATAGGTAGTGGTGAAGGAGAATGGTAGAAGAGGGGTCTGGGAATAAGGCACCATTGTCAATTCCTAGACATTTCAGGCTCCTGGCTCTTCACGTCCCCAGGTAGAGGGTTACAAAGGAAAGCAATGTGACAAAAAACCTACAGAGATTACTTTCACCACTTTCTTTGAATGGTTAATAACACTGAATCTTTATAGGTGATGCAGTGTCCCTACTATTTATACCTTAGCATGTGTAAGTTGTTGGGAGTGGTGGCCTGGACACCATGACTGGCATTACCAAAATTTATTTCCCAGAAGCAAGAGAGGTAGCCATCAAATTTTATGCTGAAGTCAAACATCATAGTCAAGGGAGTGTAGGTAACCAGTTAAACAGTACTTTATGGCAACATTAAAGGTCAAAACTATCAAGCAAACAAAACCATCCAACAGTTCATGAGAAATGACTAAATGTTAATGTTCTTTCAAAAAAAAAAAAGATATATAAACTTCCAATGTTGCTGCAGGTGTTCAGTAGGTTTAATTCAATTAGAATTGTTAAATTACTGTCATTTTTATATTATAACTTTCTGATAACCTTTCTTAGAAGCTGAAAAATACCATTATGCCACACATTCCTTGTCCAGATCTCCTGTTTGCTGACCCATATTTGTTTTCATGCAGCAGCATGTTTTGGGACGCTTCTTGAAAGTAAATTCCAAAGCACAATCTGTTCTAGGTTTTTGTAAGATTCTGTTCAAGAAGCCATGTTGATGAACAAGGCTGTCCTTGTGTGAAAATATATGAAAGATCCCAATGCCTTGAATATGTCAGGAGGGCCTTCCTTTTTCCACACTATTATTGTGTGCCTTCAAGACTTTCCCAACTTAAGACAACCCTAAAGTTAATCTATAGTTGAGTTTTCTGTAGTGAGAAAGAAGATTAAAAACCTGGATGTTCGAACAGGCATTTGGTTAATCGGTGCAATGAATGTGATGATTACAGGAATGGTAATATGGACGACGAAACTGGATCACGATTTTAGTCATGAGATGCATTGGGTTGTTATTGTTGTTTTTATTATATTATGTAGTGATGTGTTTTAATGCTGCTAAATGTTTATATTGTTTTATATATGCTGTATATTTTGACAGGCATCGAATTTGTGCCTTTGTTTGTAAGCCGCCCTGAGTCCCCCCTAGGGGGTGAGAAGGGCGGGGTATAAGTAACTGCAATAAATAAATAATAAATAATTGTGTCAAGATTGTGTATTATGCTTTTATGGTTTTAAATTGTATATTGTTGACTGTTGTACCTTTGTTGTAAACCACGTTGAGTCGCCTGTTAGGCTGAGAAACTGCGGTATACAAGTAAAGTAAGTAAGTAAATAAATAAATAAATAAATGCAACTCATACAAGGTTAGCTAGTGGGTTTCCACAGCTGAGTGAGGATTCAAGCCCCAATCCAATACCCAGATCACTCTGTCTGTGAATACTACATCATGCTGGCCTTTATATAAAAAGGTAAAGTTTGTCCCCTGACATTAAGTCCAGTCATGTCTGACTCTGGGGAGTGGTGCTCATCTCCATTTATAAGAGCTGGCGTTGTTCGTGGACACCTCCAAGGTCATGTGACCGGCATGACTGCATGGATGCCATCACCGGGGGCTCTGGCTTTTATATAACCATCCTCAAAATATTAGAGGTGGGGAAAGGGCTATTATTGCACGGCAGTGTCTCTGCGCATATTTCGTAGCAAATATTGTTCACAAGTATATTACTTTTTTCTAATTTAATTTTGAAATCTTTGAATGCTTATAACTGTTTTAACTGTTGTTTAATTATGATTGATTAATTTGATGTTCCACATCTAATTGTTGCCTATTACAAAGCCGCCCTGAGTCCCCCGTCGAGGATGAGAAGGATGGGGTACAAATGCTTGAAATAAATAAATACTTTTGCTACTAAATGTAAATAGAAGTTTATCTCAGTAGTACTTAGGATCAGTAGTGCGTTACTCAATAGTCTTTGAGCTCACCAAACACCTGAACTTGCCCTCTGCCGCTACCTGTGATGCACATGTGTCAAACTCAGGGCCGTAACCAGAGGAAAGTTTCGGGTGGATGGAGTGTTAAGGGTTCAACCCCTCCCCCGAAACCTGGTTTACTCATGAATTTTAACTGGTTAACCGATTTATGAGTAAACCAAGTTTCTGACACATTTCAGGGTGGGGTTGAACCCTTAACCCCCATCAAACTCAAGGCCTGCGGGCTGAATTCAGCCCACCATGTTATTTTATGTGTCCCTGTAGATTCTGGACTACAATTTCTGTATTCCTCATCACAGGCCCGTAGCCAGGATTTTGATTCGGGGGGTGCTGAGTTTGATTGGGGGGGGGCTGAGTTTGATTCAAGGGGGGGCTGAGGATCTACCCTAGCAAACCTTTTGTATCGTTATCCCAATACCCCCATGCATATGGGATATATTGAGCATGGTGATCAGATCATGATATGAATAAACATAACAGGTTAAATAATGTACCAGTAAGGCCTTCTCGCGGACCACCATGAGAATTTGGGGGGGGGGGCTGAAGCCCGAAGCATGCCTGCCTCATCATTAGACCTCTGATAGGAGTTGTGATATGTTAGCATCTGGAAGGCTTTAGTTTGTTCTGGATAGCGAGGTTTGGATTTAGATACAAGGCTGAATGATGTCTGACTTTCAAATATCCTTTAACCTTTCACCAATCTCAGAGCCACAAATGCTGTTGGGTTGCAATACCCATTATCCTCAGTCTGCATGATGAATAATCAAAACTGTTGTTCAGTAACATATGGGGACCCAAATTGGGCAAAAAATAGAGAACAAAAATTATAGTTGGGTCTCTGTATCCACAGATTCGCCCTTCATGGATCCTGCAGCCCTTCAGAGGTGATCATAAGGCTGATGTGACCCATGATGAAAATGAGCTTGACATCCCTGTGCTAAACCTTAGTGTGTTATTTTCAGAAACGGGGGCTGAGTTTGGTTCGGGGGGGGCTGAGATTTGGGGGGGGGCTGAGTCTGAGTGAAAGAGAGTCTAGCCTAGCAAACCTTTTGTATCATTACCCCAATACCCCCATGCATATGGGATATATTGAGTATGGTGATCAGATCATGATATGAATAAACATAACAGATTAAATAATGCACCAGTAAGGCCTTTTCGCGAACCACCATGAGAATTTCGGGGGGGGTGAAGCCCCTCAAACCCCCCCCCCCCCCGGCTACATGCCTGCCCTGTGCTAAACCTTAGTGTGTTATTTTCAGAAACATCTCCCCACCAGCAAACTGTTCCCAGGATTGAAATTATGGTGGCGAAATATATCATATGAACCAGCAATACTTGTGTATACATTATACTCATTAGCACAGCGAATGCCCATTTTTAAAAATTTCATTAATCCAATTAATTTCATGAATCCAATTAATGCTTGAGCTGTTTGTGGGACCGTTTCGTTGTGCTATGGAAGATGTAGGAAACGGCAGAATGCACAAGTGTCTCAAATAAGGGTTTTAAAAATAGCATTACTGCAACAACTCTCTATTCCTTAGTAGCACCGTACTTGCTTGTATCTTAAGCAGCTCTTTCTGCACTTCACTAATCATTATAATTGGCTTGTCTTTTACTGCCATTAATTATATGATGTAGTAGCCCATTAATAATTATGTGAGTGCCACACCTCAGCATTTTCATCTTTAATTATAGAGACTGCACTTTTATGATTCCACAAAATGGCTGGTAAAACTATTATTTTTATACACGCATACTTATATAATATATAATATAATGTACCTCTACTTTGGTGTCTTACAGCATCCTTACCCTTCAGAAGAACAGAAGAAGCAGTTGGCACAAGACACAGGACTCACAATACTTCAAGTGAACAATTGGTAAGTAATTGTACTTTAATGTTTACACACAATCAGTATTCAGCCTCTGGCAACCTCAGCTAATGATTTGCATTATGATAATGCATCCCTTCAGTAGCCTGCATCCTTTGCTACTTTATGGCTATAAAATCAGCATAGCTTAGTGGATGGTTTCTGTTAGGAGAACTAGTTATTGTACTCCCGCAGAATTATAGATATTTGCTTTCCCATAGCTTGAGAAAGCGTTTGGTTTCAGTGCCCAAGTATTTGTGTGGTGCTTTCCCAACGTTAGATTTCTGAACATAAGTATTTATGCAGTTCTTGGCTCGAACGTGTCTCTTTAGGCCACCTTTCAAGAAATCACTTTCTCAGCAGTCAGGAAATTACAAATAGATTAACCATTGTTATAGGTCTTTATTTCAGTTTTCGGTTTCATTTGTATGAAACCATTATTCACAAAGCTGCAATCCAGCCTGTGAGCTGCTTAAATCCCATTAAAGAAACTGTAAATTAAGCAGCCTGAGTCCAGGATTACATCCATGATTAAGAAAAGTGGTTCTGAAATTGTTGTACAACATTCATTTAAAAGAGAAGAAACTAAAGCGGATCTTTCCAAATTCTGTGTTGAGGAAAACCTACGTATACATAAAATTAGCTTGCTTTTAAAGTATTTAGTCTTCTCTGCTTCTGATGATAAGGGCCCTAAATTCACCCTCATCCCTACCATTATAAAACTTTAAAAAATGATTTGTCGTTGGTTCTTGTACTGAAATGCGAATTTTGTACATCACCCCAGAACATGGCTTGTATCTGGGGCATACTGAAATCTAATGCTGTGTCAAATTAAGTGTATCTAATTAATTGTTCTAATATTTTTAGATTAGTATTTACGATGTAGAAACCTTATCCTCTTTGATGTAATACCCAGAAAATGTCCAAGGCGAGCTCAAAGCCGAGTGTGGTGGGTGGGTGGGGGGAGATGGAAGAGGGTCAGTTTCTAGACAAAAGTATTTCTGTTTTTATTCAGTAAATGTCAGAGATTAATATTTTCAAGGCTTTGATTGCATGGTCTAATCCATATTAGTGAATAAATTTGGTTTTGATGCCTTAGTGTGCTTATATTAACAAACCTTTCTCAGTTAGAGCGACTAGGGACTGATGAGAGAGGTTTCAGATATATTAAACCCTATTACAGAAAATGTAATTTCTGTCAATGTAATCCCGTGTATTCTTCAATTTAGTACTTTGGAGATAACAAGCTACTTACAATATATTTGCCTTCAGAGGATTAATTCACAAACTGCACTATCTGCGAGACACAGATGGACTCACATAATCATAGCTTGTAAGGTTATCAATTTCTGTGACCTTACAGCAGGCTTGGGAGATCAATTTGTTGTTACCTTTTAAATATGTTGAATAATGAAATCACACAATTCTTTGTATGCTGAATTGTATTTCCACATACTTATTTTTGAATGCTACATTTAAAGCCCATTCCCAAATGATAAAGTATTACATGTCAATCACTAATAGGGACATCAGAATATGATATTCATTGAGGATCCTTATTTGCAGGAAAATATAAATATGTGTTTGTGTGTAGTTTCTTATACTTTCAAGAAGTCAAAAATGGTTTCCAGTCCAAATATTTCTCTAACCTCCCATTTATTTAACTGGAAGTATTTATGTATTATATGTTTAAATCTCCTTCATTGAAATCAATGGAATATAAATTGGTTTGACTGAATCATGATCCATAGCAGTTGTAGAAACATCCCAGGAATATTTCAATATTTATTAATTTATTAATTATTTTATTTTATTTATCGTGTCATCCGCACCCAGAACATTGTATTACATTTCTAACAGAACAAAACAAACAAACAGATTAAAAAAACCCACAAATTTTGCAAACTTGGTAGTTGAGTAAATGTCCTTTGACCAGTATCTGGCCACTTGGAGTGCCTCTGGTGTTGCCGCAAGAAGGTCCTCCATTCTGCATGTGGCAGGGCTCAGGTTGCATTGCAGCAGGTGGTCAGTGGTTTGCTCTTCTCCACACTCGCATGTCGAGGATTCAACTTTGTAGCCCCATTTCTTAAGATTGGCTCTGCATCTCGTGGTGCCAGAGCGCAGTCTGTTCAGTGCCTTCCAAGTCGCCCAGTCTTCTGTGTGCCCAGGGAGGAGTCTCTCATCTGGTATCACCCACGGATTGAGGTGCTGGGTTTGAGCCTGCCACTTTTGAACTCTCGCTTGCTGAGGTGTTCCAGCGAGTGTCTCTGTAGATCTTAGAAAACTATTTCTTGATTTAAGTCGTTGACGTGCTGGCTGATACCCAAACAGGGATGAGCTGGAGATGTCTCTGCCTTGGTCCTTTCACTATTGGCTGCTACTTCCCCGCGGATGTCAGGTGGTGCAATACCGGCTAAGCAGTGTAATTTCTCCAGTGGTGTAGGGCGCAGACACCCCGTGATAATGCGGCATGTCTCATTAAGAGCCACATCCACTGTTTTAGTGTGGTGAGATGTGTTCCACACTGGGCATGCGTACTCAGCAGCAGAGTAGCATAGCGCAAGGGCAGATGTCTGGTTGTGATCCCCAGATTGTGCCAGTCAGCTTTCGTATGATATTGTTTCTAGCACCCACTTTTTGCTTGATGTTCAGGCAGTGCTTCTTATAGGTCAGAGAACGGTCCAGAGTGACTCCCAGGTATTTGGGTGCGCTTTATATTCCATCATATTTCAATGATGGAATATAAATTGGTTGGACTGAATCATGATCCATAGCAGTCAAATGTAGGTACAGTAGAAACATCTCAGGAATATTTCAACGATGTTGTTGAGATTTTATATTGGGAACCTTTTGCTGTTTAGATATTTTGGGTTTCAATGGTTAGATGTCCTGGCCATCCTTGTCATAGGATTATGAGAACTGTAGTTCAAAAGATCTTGAAGGTCTTCACTTTCTTATGTAGAATGATTGAGATAATGGGTTGTCGAAAGAAATGTGAATGAATGGAAACTGGGAACTAATAGTAAAAAGTAAAGGTTTCCCCTTGACATTAAGTCTTGTCGTATCAGACTCTGGGGTGTGGTGCTCATCTCCATTTCTAAGCCAAGGGAGCCGTAGATGCCTCCAAGGTCATGTTACAGGCATGACTGCATGGAGTGCAAACTAATAGTATTATTTATACCCTACCTTTCTCCCAGAATAGAATTCAAGGCAGTTATAGACATGCTTCTGTAATAATATGCATGGAAGTTTATGATGTGTACTGTAATATTTGGGTACTTCCACAGTTCCCTAAAGGCAGCAGATCCTATCTGATCTTGGATGGGAGATCACTAAAGAATACCAGGTGCTATAGGCTACGTTTCAGAGGAAGGAGTTGGCAATACCACCTTGAAGTGTTCCTTGCCTAAGAAAATCCTGTGAAATTCATGGGGTCTCCATAAATCAACAGGTCAACAGGTGACTTGAAGCCACACACACAAATGGACTCACACATCACAATTTTTTTCCTTTTGTTCAACTTAGTTAGCTTTACCTTCACCATTGTCTAGATTTGCTCCATTGCTGGTTGAGAAAGTCTTTGTGCAAGAACAGACTAGTTGCTGTTTCTTTGTGAATCATCCAGCTCCATATCTTTGAAAGCAAGCTTCTACACTTGTTCTTTTTGTTAGATGGAGTCATTAGTTTAGTTCAGTTCAGTTTGAATTTTGTGCTACTCTTTTGTATGTTCTTTTAGTTTGTGCTGCTCTTTACATGCTTTTATTTTAATATTTTTTGCTTTGAATGTTGTTGTATATGTAATCTACACAGGTTATTTTCCTTTTGCTTAGAAAGAATGAGCTACATTCAGATATACATTCAGGTCAGATATATTTACCAGCCAGAAAAACTGAAACTGAAAGAACAGAGAACCAGAATAGCAAAAGTTGTGAGTTCATTAGAATTGGAGGTGAGCAACAAATTGGTTGCAAGAGACATTTAGCTCACGTGAAACAGGAAGCAGTAATTTCTGTTAAAGTCAGTACTGCTTTAATATTTTTCTTGCTCTTTTGAAATGATACAGGTCCATTATTCTGAACAAAGAATATTGTTGGGGCTGGGGTGATCTAGAAATTATTTTATTTCTGATATTTCTATCCCGTTCCTTCTCACTCAGGACAGCTTACATTTGGCAGCAATTCGATGCCACTACATATAACACAGCAATATAATAACAATTAAAACAATAAGTAAAACATTCATTAAAATAGTAAAAAAAAACACAGTATTAATAGCTGTAACAGCATCAAATAGAAATATAATCTATTATTGTTAACTCGCATCAGCTGTATTGGAGCAAGTGAAATTATATTTCGAGAAGCATGATATGTCCTTCGAATGATAAATTGTAAGTTTAGACAGTATTTTGTCAACTAGTATGAATGATGGATATGACTGACATTTAATATCCTATGGGATGTAGGTGTGGTTTAGGATAGTTTTTAAAGGTAGTTTGTGTATATTGATGAACACATGGCATTTTAGAACAGAGATGGGGCAATGGGCAGACTGTGTAATGCATGCAGGATTTTTGCCAGCTCCAGAAAGTCTGGAAAATCTGTGCTGTGGTTCAGGACAGTAAAGCATTGGTCTCATATTGGGAAAACTGGTTCTTTTACCGTAGTATCAATCTGATTCCCAAGCCTGGACTAATCTCCATTTCTCGTGGAATCCCAGGTTCTTGGAAACCAATAAGGAACCTTCTCAAGATTACAACCATCCTCCATACACCTTAACATACCACTCCCAGGCTTAGATGGTTGGCCATGATGGTTCTAAAAGAATCAGATGCACACATATGCATTTCTGAGCAATAAAAATTATAAAAACTATGTCCTCTCGTTCAAATCCTCATCCGTTCCATTGTCTTAACAGTTCCTGGGTCATTTTCTGATTCAAGTTTGTCTGTTTATCCTGAGGTTCCAAATGCTTGCTCGAAGAGTTTTCACTCTTTTTCGAAAGGTCAGGAG